TGGCCCCCACTGCTGATGTGACACTGAGGTTGTCTCACTAAACCAGAAATTAGCAGGGTCAGAGAGTAAAATGTTCTGTGGCTTCACCACTGTACCCACCTTTACTGACCCATGAAGAAACCAGTTGGAGTAAGGGCTGGGTTCATGTAAGGAGGGGGGTGCGTGGCAGAACTTTTCTTCCCTTTCTCCCCTTTTTCAATTCTTTTGCCTCCTGTGTGGTAAGGACTCGATGTCACCAGTCCACATGATCTGTAGTAAGTCACATCTTGAATTGCAGAGCAGCTTTGGGGGTCTGGGGGAATGTTGCTCTCTCAAACTCAGTTACTGACCCTTGTGCAATGAAACCTCTGTGCTGTGTTGTGTCTGTGTCATGTTTGTCCCCCACCCACTCTCTCTGACAGGTATAATTCAGGGAACACAGATAGTAGAGGGAGAGCCTGTGAGGGATACTGTGCTATTTAAACTGGAGATACATTTGAATAAATAATTTGCAACTGGAAGGCAGGCATAAATTAATTGTTATTTGAATGACATACTTACTTTCCTTTTTCTAAAAGGTGTAATTCTTTATGTTTGACTTTCGGGATTACTTTCTCTAAATCACACAGGCATTGCAGTAACTCACCTCAAAGCCTAGCAGGGCTGAGTAGGATGAACACACATCTTACACTCATTGCCATGTGTTTAAATAACATTTGTCATCTTGTCTTCTCTGCTCTGAAATGAAAGCTTGGAATGAGCTGCATTTGGGCTGGAAAGACCAAACATTCACAGGAGACATTTGTGGATGGTGGAGAGGAAAGGAGAGGAAAATCCCTCAATTTGACAGCATGCTTGGGCATTTATGTCTGGGGGATGAGGAGAAGCAGGAAGGGTCTGCAGTTGTACTCTCCCCACAGAAACCTTCAGATTATTGGTGTTTTCATAAGGTGGTTGTCCTTAAAGTAATTTTTAATGAGAGCTGCTTATCAGCACATTTAACAATGTGACATTTGTGTTCGGAAAATACCACATCCCCAGCCCAGGGAGCCCAGGCAAGGAGATGCTGTGACTGACATTGAGACACGTCAAAGACAAAAGTATTTTGGGCTTTGCTTATGAAGTGTGAGCCAGACCATGCTCATGTTGCAGCACTGATACCCCTTCGGCACAGGGACCCCAGGGACTGGGGTGGGGCCTTTATCCTCTGTGCATGTTTGCTGTTCCCTGCTGGTATCAATCACCATGGCAGAGGCATGAGATGGGTTTCACGAAGTGGCACAAGTGTCCTGCAGAAGGGGCTGCTTTATTGGCACAAGCTGGCACCAGCTCGAGGTGGCTCAGAGATTTCTCTTTTTCTGCACTGACTGGAGAACATGGGAGGAAGGTGGTGCTTTGGCTTTTTTGCCTGTGAGCCCACCAGCCCTTCAGCTTGGGGGGTTGCAGAGGAGCCTGCAAGGGTGCTGTCCTGGGACCCCCAGCTTGTTGGGGTCTGCAAAGGCATCCCTCTGCCATATTAAGGCCAGGCTGCTTGGCCCCGGCTGCAGGGAGGGGTGCCAGCTGCCTTTTCCAGCTTCTCTGGCATTTCAGGAATGCAGGTTTCTCACTGAAGCTACATTTCAAAGCTTTTAACCCTTTGGTTGGCTGCATCCCACTGAACGTGGCCACTCCAGGCTGGTGCTGGGGCAGAGAGTGGCACAGCTGAGGGGAGCTGGTGTCCCCCTTGTACCTGAGCACACCAGGAGGTCTCAGCTTGGAGGAGTGTCCCCCAAAGCACCCAAGTCACACAGGACCATGTCTCTGCCTGGTGGGATGTAGCAGGTCCTCATGCATCTCCTTTTTTGCAGTTCATGCTCAAAGATGTGCAGCTTTGGGCCCATTGCCTTGCTGCTTCAAATTAACTGGTGTAGTGGTGCAAATGGTTCATTTTGGGTCAGGTACATACCCTTGTGTCTGGCCAGGTGGGAAGCACCAGGAGGTGACACTGCATTTCTCCAGCATCCCTGTTTTAGGGAGAAATCCCTCTGCTAATGCTTTCAGGTTTGCTTCCTTCTCTAGTAGACTTTTTCCCCTGAGAAAGGTGATCTGAGGTCCTCACACCCCCAGCAGAACCTTCTGAGAACAGTTTCAGTCTCTGGACATGGAGTTACAGTATAGTATTGCTGTAGTACTGTGTTCCTCCCTCCTGTACTACATTGTGTAGGCTACAGAAATCCTCTCTGGCAGCTGTTGTGTGGATTTCAGAAGGGATTTCGCCCACTCAAACCCAAGCTATTGTGTTTGTTTGTATAAAACTGTATAGGAGAGAGATTGTATTAATTTAGGGATGCACCAAGTGGGCTTGGTTCTGCTCTTGCTAAAACCTGTGGGAGTTTCCTGATTAAATCTGAAACCACAGGAGACCTTTCAGCAATGTACTTCTGAGTTCCACCAGTGGTTTGAATTAAATTCACAGTGACACCACAGATAGGAATTTCTTCATAATCTTTAAACTCACGAGTGCTGTGGATGTTTATGTCCAGTCTCCAGATGTGTTTGCCAGGTCGGCGCGGTGGCATTAAGTGGCTGTGTGACAAAGAAGCAGCAGGATGAATGGCTCAGTGCTCCATCCCTCTGTAAAAAGCTGAGCCCGGTGTCAGCAGTGCTGGGCAGGTCTGTGCCTGCAGCAGCAGCCACGAGATGGTGCTCGGAGCATGCCAGGAGCCGTGGGCAGCTGCAGCCTGGCCCCAGCCTGGCCCCCTTCTCCCCATCACTCAACCTGCACCGACCCCCCAACTGCACCTGTCAGGGCTTTTCTGGCCTGGGAGCCATTGTTTCTCAGGTATAGCCACGTTTTGTGCTTCCCAGGATACGGCAGCTATTAAAAAAAAAAAGGCATTTTGCAAAATGTTGAGTCCCAACAGAGGCCCCAGGGTGTTGTGGTGCAGAGCTGGAGCTATGCTGGTGCTGAAGTGCAGGGGTGGGATGGCTGTGCAGGCAGCTGGGGCTTGGGAGAGCCAAGCTGATCAATCTGAGATGCCTGTACCTGGAAAAGCTGCTTGTGCCTGGAAAAGGAATATACAGGTGTGTGTTCCTGTGCTGTAGGCACAAACACCTCCTTCCTCCTGTCCTTGTCCCTGTGTCATCTCTTCAGTGCAGCATCTTGCAGGGTTGCCAGCTATTAATGGAGATGCATGTGGGCAATGTCTAGTGTTGAGGATTCAGCTGGAGGTGCAGAGAGCTCCTGGATATGGAACTCCTGCTCTGACATAGCCTTGGAGTGGAAATCTGCCTCAGTTCTGTAATTAAACTGTGTATTTCAGATTGCTACTGCACCAGTATAGGTCTGGGGTTGCCTTTGCATACCCATGTGTCTGAGTAGATGTCATCCTCTAGTTTAGAGTTTAAGCAGAGTTTAATCCAAGCTCCTGAGTATCCCCAAGCCCCTCAGCGTGCCCTGATAGCTCTTGTGGCCAAATGTCCACATGCCTCTTGCTTTCCACCCTAGCAAAGCATCCTCCCTGAGCTGGCCCCACCATCCCTTCTGTCTCACTCCCCTTCTTTAAAACCCTGCTGAAGTCCCACTTTCTCCCCAAAACCCCTGTGAAATGGGCTGGGCTTGCCTGGGCTTGCCTGGCAGCGTGAGGATGGAAGATTAGTAGGGAGCTGACAGACAGGGAGCCAGCCACTAGGACTGGTGCTGGGAGCTGGGTAAAAACGTGATGTGTAGGAGATGACTGCAGGAAGGAAAATTCATGGTGTTTACCCATGGCACTGGAAAAACAGATGTACAGTAAAGCAGACTGCTGCTGGTGTTATCTCGGTGATCTCACTTTCGGAGGCTGTGCCTGGGTTTGGTAGTGCCTGTTCTGGCTGCCAGTTCTGGGAGATGATGAGGACTTGTTTAGGGCTGGCAGAGCAGCACAGCCCATCACTGGGGCTGTGATGAATGGCAGCAGCCCAGAGCTCAGAAGGTGCTGGTGTGCTCTGTGCCTCTGCTGTGGCTGCCAGCAGGCAGTGGGGGCAGCCGGTGGCTCTGGCCCACACCTGAGTTTGAGTTTGGTCCTTGTCTTCAACATCATCAGCTGTTCCCCAGGTCCTGAGTGTAGGGACATGTTCCTCTGAAGACAAGTGTGCAGCAATTCTGTCCCTCTTCACCTCCCTTTAATCACTCTGGTAAACTTTGTCATTCCATAAATCTTGCAGCAAGTGAATGCATATTTCTTTCCTAAGTGCTGATGAAAAAGCTGAGTGCAGCTTGGCTGCCCTCCTCTGCAGAGCTGCCCTGGCAGTTCAATCTAGTCTGTGGGGGCTCTGCTGACTCTCATGGTACCTGTGTAAATCAGGATACCCTGTGGTGCAGAGCCCAGCACTGTACCAAAGTCAAGGTACGTTCTGTCTGAGCAGTTACTTTGATCCCTAAGGCTGCATCTCATCAAAGACTGAAATCAGGATTGTTTGACAACACCTATTTTCCATTAGCAATGTTGACAGCATTAATTATATTCTGATGCTTTAATTCTTTATTACTGAAATCACACATCAGTGATAGTCATTATTTTGCAAGGGGGTTGATGTTATGCTAATCAGCTTGCAGTTAACTGGGTCATCCCACTCATTTTTTTGGCTGTGGGCACAACACTACTGCTCTTGTACTGGAGTCTCTGTGGTCTGCCAAGATTTATTTTAAACAAACATGAGCAAGCCAGAATTTCTGAGCCAGCTTTTTTAGGACTCTTGGGTGCAAGTTATGTGAAAATATTTATCTCTATTGTATACTGTTTAACATCTTCCTTGGTTACTAATGGACTGGAAAGGACTTCATTGTCCTCAAGTGATACAACTACATCATCTTGCAAAGTCAGAGCAAAAATGTTTATGGGAATCTTCTGTCCTTTCTTTGTCATTATTAACTGTCTTGTGCTCTCTGTTTTGGAAAGGGCTGGTGCCTGTCTTGGGATTTCTGAGTTTGTACTGAACTTTAAAGATCTCCTCTCTATTAGCCCATCACATCTTGGTCTTCTGTGTTCTCATTCCTGCAGGTACAGTCCCCAGATCACAAGGAATGGAGCAAAAGCCCAGGCTGGCAACCATGAGGTGAAGGTGAAAGGTCCAGAGCCAGTGATCAGCCAGATTATTGACAAGCTGAAACACATCAACCAGGTTTGTTGGAGATGAGCCAGCAGGGGTGGCTCAGTGGGCGGTTTCTAAATCAGATCTGCCTCCCCCTCACTCTCCCTGGGCTCAAGCAGACATCCTGGGTGTCTCCATCTGCAGCAGCCCTGGCAGCCCTGTGTGCACAGCCAGTGCCACCCCAGCCCTGCACAGCACCAGGCCCACAGGGCACACGTGCCAGTCCTGCTGGATGCCTGCTGGTGTGGTTCTGCATGTGCAGCCTCAGGACTCAGCCTGTGCCTGGCTCGTGTGTGGATGCATGGCTGCAGCGCTTCTGCTGGGCATCTGTGCCCTTAGCAGTGGAGGTCCAGGAAAGATGGAGCTGATGGGGTGCCCTTGAGCAGGACGTGCTGGCTGGGGGTCATGTGGCACGTACCAGATCTCCCCTCTGGTTGGAGGAGCTCCTTTTGGCATTGCTCATGGCTGGCAAGAAGGGTTGCTTTTTTCTTTGCTGTAGCTCCCTGGGCATTCTCTCCCAGTCAGTAATGGGGCAAGTTACTGTTGAATGGGGAAATGGCAGAGCTGGATGAGGAGGAAGCTTCCTTCCCACTGCCTCAGACCTGGCATCCTTCCTGGGACAGGCAGTGTCTTGTCTCTACCCATTATGCCACGCCAGTTAGGCCTGTGAACAAGCCCTGCTGCTGCCAGGGGATTAAGTGGCAGCTCTGCAGAGTGTTCAGCTTGTGTCTGAACCTCCCCAGCACTGCCCTGGGCCAGCAGGGCTGGGGTCTGGCTCTGGACTCTGCTCTGCCCTGCGTGTCACTGAGTGTGGATGTCACAGGAACTCGTGGAGGTGTTTTTCATAGGCTGGGCTTGCTGCTTTGCCAGGACACACTCTGGGACCTCACAGGGCAAATCCTTGGGTGCTAACACTGCTAACACAGCTGAGCTGCCCCATCTCTCCTGAGAGAGCTCTTCCCAGAGGGGACCTTGCCCACGGTCGCCGTGGCACGAAGCTCTGGGCAGCGGTGGGTCCCTGGGGTTAAGCCCAGCTTTGCTTCCCAGCCGGGTGGGCTGTGAGGGCGGCTCTCTTTGGAGCTGCTGGCTTAGCAACTTTTCTGCTAACCTCTGCTTTCCTGCTCCGAGGCTGCCAGGGACTGTTTTCACAGCCATTCCCGTTTAACCCCGCGCCCTCCGAGGCAGGCATGCCTCATTAGGTGCTGTCTGGGAGCAGGATGCAGACAGGGATTCGGGGTCCCCAGGAGCACCCCACAAAGCAGGAGCTGCCATGGGCAGTGGCCCTACAGCCTGCTCTGCCTTCTCACATGCTCCCAGTGCCATCTGCCAACAGCCCATAATTATTAGAAGGGGAAAAGTGGGGGGGAATAGCATAATCAGCTCCCTATTATATGGGGTAGAGGGCAGGCTTCAACCTGCAGGTGATAATGATATTTTGCCATTCACAGTGAGAAAGTTGCAGTGAACAAAACATGGTTATTATGTACTTGAAACTGCTGACACAAAGTGGTTGTGAAATGCTGGCTGCCAGACTGGGTCAAGTTAGGTCTTTGCTGAACAGCTTGGGCTTCTGAGGAGTGGAGGTCTGTGGAGTGGGAGACCCTGGGTAAACACTGCTGTGCTCAGCTCAGCTGTTTGCAGCAGCAGAGTGTCCCTGTCAGCTGCTGCTCAGAGAAGAATTGTGGTGAGTATGGTCAGCTCAGTCACAGTCTCTACAGTGCTTCCCCCCACCAGCTTGCAGTGTCAGGCTGGGATGTGTTATGGGGGGCAAGTAAGCTGTTTTGGTTTGAACTGCATAAATGTAAGAGCCTGAAAAATGTCAAACCCTCTTGTAAAGCTGTGTTTGAGAAAGAGGAGGAACTGAGAATAAAATCAGGAGAAAATAGGAAGTGATTTGTGCAAATTAGTTGTGAAGCTTGCCCAGAGAGGCTGTAGCTGCCCTGTTCCTGGAAGTGTTCATGGCCAGGCTGGAGGGGGCTTGTAGGAAACTGGTCTAAGAAAGGTGTCCCTGCCTATGGCAGGGCATTGGAACTACATGATCTGTAAGATCCCTTCCCACCCAAACCAATCTGTAATTCTATGATATGATTCTATTCCTGTGGAGGGTCTGTAGTCAATGGTCAGTAGCTCATATAGCAGGAAAGCAACTGTGGAGGTTACTTAAATTTGGGATTTGGGGTGTCAGAGCTTACCATCACACTTATTTTCTTGGCTTAAGGAAGTTTTGAGCTCTCTTTCACATCTGGAATGCATCTTGATTGCCAAAGAGTATTAAATGTGTAAGGAACAGCAGCTCTGGATGAATTACAGTTCTGTCTCTCAGGTGTTGGCTTCAGATTTGGGAAGCAGTGGGAACTCCTGAGCTGCAGAGGTTTGAAAATCTGCTTATCCACCAAGCTCAAGCCAACAGTGGCTTTTAAGGATTTTCAGACATCCAGGATCTTTTGGAGAAAAGACCATCTTTGTGGTGCTCAGAGCTGTAAACTGGATTCCCATGTGACTACCTTTAAATTATGAATCTTGTACAATGTTGTGGCTTCCTCCCAGTGTGTTGGAAATACAGCCTGGATTCTGTGGGTGTGGGCAGACTCAGGAACCATGCTGTTTGGTTCAATTTTCATAGTGATCCACAGCTTTTATTTTTACTTGGAGATTTTTTGCTAAATAACTGTAATTTGCTGATGACTTCACCTTTATTCCAGGATGCTCATGCTGCTGGAAGTGTCTGTTCTTTCAGTGTTGTGTGTACAAATTGTGCCTGCTCTTTAGTTCGTGTCCTCTCAAACCTAATTTGGGTAAGTGTACACACATTCTCATGAGAAATTCTCATGAAACGTTTGCAGTTTGAAATGAAAATGAGGTTTGTGCATTAGAATTAAACCCATGGGGATTGAAAGAAGTAGAGAAAACCTAACCCAGAGAAAAGGGGAAGGGAAAGTGCCCCAGACTGTATCTTTTTGCTTTGAGCACCTTTGAGTATTTATTCATTTATAAATAAATAAGTGAATTAAACACAGTGCCTGAGCTGTGTGCTGTCTCAAGGCAGCCCTTTCTGGATGAGTCCCCCTCAGTGCTGCCTATTCATCACATCAGACCAGTTTTGTTTCACCCAAATGTGTGATTCTGGCTGATGCTATTTTTTGTGCATTGGTGGGTGAGGTGCTTTATTATTGCCATATTGGGATTTTTTTCCCCCCAGTTCTGTTAGATGTCTACCGAGTTTTGATTTGAGTTATTTTTGTTGTGTGCCCAGAGGCATGAACAGCCCATCCATAAATATTAGCATTGTTATCTCAGCTGGGAGGCTAAGGGTCACCTTCAGGAAAATGAGTTGGAATTGGTTCCTAACTTTTATTTCCCAGAGTGGATGGGGTCTGCTTCTAGCTAGAAGGGTTTCACTCATCCCTTGAGTGAAGCTATGTAGAAACTGAAAGGTTATTCAGTGTCAGCACGGGGTCTGGCTCAGGTTTTCTGTGGCTTGGTAACATCCCCAGGCAGAAAGGGGACGTTTGAGTGGCTGAGAGATGGGGCTGAGCTGCAGGTTCTAACAGCCATGCTTGGAGGTGGGAGCTGTGGTGTCACATGTGCCACGTCCTGGCGGCCCTGCCACCCTGGTGACCTCGTGTTGGTCACCCTCCTCCACTGAGAGAGGAGCTGAGTGATGCTGGTGTAGGGATGCAGCAGGCATCTGTGGTACCAGACTGGCTGATGTGACACTCCTGGTCCTCCCTCCTGTCCCTGTCTGTCCTGAAGTGACTTTTGTGTCCTTTGCAGTGCCTGTGGGGCTCTGACACCATTGCAGCAGATGCTTTACTTCATCCTTAATGCCATTACCTCTTCAAGCTTGTGCCCAGTTGCAATCTCTTTTTTGTGCTTAGGTAAATCCTGATGTTTATCATAGTACTGTCTCAAGGAGGAAGAGCACAATTTTTTAAGAAAAGGAGGGGGAAAACACCACAAAAATTAATAGTAAAGTCCATAAAAGGAAACTTAGCTGGGGAAGATGTGTCTTTACAGAATTGAATGGCCTGGAAACATATTGTACATTTCCAGACACTCGAGTTAAGGGCTCATTTAGAATATTTCAGATATACTGGAGTTTGACAGTTCTTTGGTTTCCACATCAAACAATCTGTAATTTATTGCCCCATATAGGGACTGTGTTTTTATCATATTGCATGTTTTCTAGCCAGAAATCTAACTACCATATAAGCTCTTGAAAAAATAAACCCTTTGGGGATGGGAATCCAGGCAATATGCTTTCACAGACCCTGAGAAACTCCCTTTGATTTATTTCCTTGCAAATAAGGGGAAGACACAGTTTCGTGGAGTATTACAGCTGTTCCCCCAAGCAGGGTCTTGCTGCCTTTCTTCATGTGCTCGGTGTAAAGACCCAGTCCTGAGTGAGCCCCATGTGGAAGAGCCTCACTTTGCTCCTGGAGGGGTTTGCAGGAGGATGAGAACAAAATTTAGAAGTTTTACGAGGCAGTAAAACACACAGCTGTACTTGGAAGGGGAAAAAAAAAGCCTGGAGGCCCAGAGGTGTGAATGACCGAAGACAAAATAGACCTGAAGTTCACAAAAAAAAGCACCTCCTGGCATTTCCAGGGCCGTGTTTGAAGCTGGTTTGATCAACCAATATGTCCCATATTTGTTTGGAGGATTAATGGGCTGTTTCCCGGCGGCCTGGCTGCTGGGAGAGGGCATGGTGGAGGTCACCCAGAAGTTAATTTGGAAAGAGGCCAAAAGGCCACAACTTGATTGAATCAAATGTAAACAAAATAGGCCTGGGAACGGTGTGATGCCCTTGTGCCTGAGTCCCCTGCAACCTCTGTGCTCAAAATACAGAGTGGTGGAGCACTGGGACCAGCGAGGAGGGTCTGACCCCACCATGGGGAGAGACCCCACCAAGCTCAGGGTGACAAAGGGACCCAGACCCTGCTCAGGGCACACAGGGAAATACAAAGTTTATTATGGGAGAGCCTTGGGAGCTGGGCACTTCGCAGGAATATATCTTCTCTTCAGAAAAA